ATCCTTTCGACACAAAACCTACTATAAATTACCAAAACAAGACAAAATCGAGTTTATCCTCTTGAGTCATGTCTAAACTACAAAGTCCGAGTCTGAAAGTTCTAGGACTTTGTGGACACCAATTGGGTTCACACCTGGCCGGAATGAATTTCCTTCGATGTACCTGTGATGAAAATCATATAAGTTACCTGAGAGACTGTTGTAGAAATTATAAGTTGGATGGAATTTGCCGAAGCGAAACTTACATTTCCTTTAAGAATGGGTGCTTGTAGAAGGCAGCAGGAATCCTACCGGAAAATTGATTGTGATCCAGATACCTGAATTAGAGAAATAGTTTGGATCACCGAAAATGATCTTCGAGTTATGTATTTACAATAAGTAAAACTAATCACTTCCCAGACCACACAGAGTCCCTTGTGGCTTAATGGTATTATTCCTTAAGAAGTTAAGAAGCCTATAACATGAAGCTTGAGGAAATTCTCAGTCCGCGTGAGATAGAAAAAGGACCAAGAAATGTTGACAAGTGGAGAATCTCAAGTGAAGAGAGCCTCCGCCTTACTCTCACACAACTTCACTTGAACCTCGAATCTCACTATTGCTTATCAGCACCTGACGTCTTGACCCCTTTGGATTTATCAATAATTGTGATCTTTGAGAAAAAGAATTTCTTGTGAACACCTAAATATCAAAGGATCTGCAGGCCTCTCTATATGGTTATTCAGGAACCATTTTAATCTTCCATAAAGCAAAATTCTATATCTGAATTTCACTATAAACATAACCAAATGTGAAAACTCTCAAAGCCCTCAACTTTCTTAAGTGAAAAATATTTAGGCAAATCACTTCGTCGTTGTTGTCATAAGGCCACCCTCTCATTATTACTATAAAGATAAGGTCACTAAGTTATCCTAATTACTCCTTGTAAGCTATAGCCTCCAGAAATAGGTTCAAAGCTGACAAGAGTGATTAAAAAGAGGAAAACACACACTGAGCAATAACAAGCTCTTATGGAGTCAGATCATAATAGTGAATCACATCTTTTGATATCATGGGAAAATGCGTTCAACTAAATGCTGAGCAAACCCATTTGTTAATGTCGAAGTCAGTTGCAATGATCTTAACAGCAGTACCACAACCTAAAGGAAAACCTAATGTTGACACTTGACACCAAATATTCCTCATCAACTACCAGTACAAAGAGTGTAAGCTTATATCTTTCTGAACAGTTTCATATCGTATCCTGGTTGGTCACCATGTGACTAAACTTAGATCATTCATAAAATCTGATTATCAGATGCCAAGGCTTTTTTATAATTTTAAAGAAATATTTCAACTACCTCCAAAGCTGGAAAACAACATCCGGTAACATCAATCAGTATAAGAAAGGAATCGAGAAAAGCCCACTTACAAATAAGTCAATTGAGGTATATGAGCAAGACCAGATGGTATAATTCCAGACATTTTGTTTCCAGATAGATATCTACAACATAGACAAGCAATTAACATCAGACATAGCAAAAAAGCAACAGATTCAGCAACCAATAAACAGCAAAAAATTCCCTGTAAATACAGGAACCTACAATATCTCCAATTTTGTCAAATTTGCAAGCTGTGCTGGAATACCTCCAGTTAGATAGTTGTTATTAAGATATCTGAAAATTGAAAACAAGGGAAATCCTCAAAGTTATTCCTTAATTAATGGAATTAGCACAGAGATAAAACAATCAACTAAAACACTGCCAAGTTAAATTAGCATACAGGTTACGAAGAGCTGGGAAGCACCCTTCGATACGTATGAGTTCCCTTATTGTCCCAACCAAATGGTTGTTACCAACATCTCTAGAAATACATTGAAACTTAATTAACTAATCTGAGGAAGGTGACAAATAGCACACAAATACACAATTCAAAGAAAATGTTACAAGTGCCGCAGATTTGGCAAAGTTCCCAATTCAGGTGGAATTCTCCCCGTCAGCCGATTTTCATGAAGTTGGAGATAACGAAGTTCAGGAAGATTTGCAAGCTCCTTTGGGATTTCACCTTTGAAACTATTAAAACTCAAATAACTGCAGAGGTTTCAAACAAGAGCCAGTTAATTTGGCAGAGTAAAGTTTATGGTTTCTGGGAGAACTAGATATTCTCAATTTCAATATCACTCACAGATGGGTTAACTGCTTTAGTTCACCAATTTCTGGAGGAATGGAATCTTGCAGCTTATTCCACCTCAAATTACTGAGAGGAAGAAAAATGCAACAAAAAATTTCAAAAGGCTAAAAAATTTATACATAATAAAAATAGGCAGAATCTAAATGTGTAAGATTAAATTTCAAATGACAGAATCTTAGTTTTAAATTTGGGGACAGAATTATTTTACAATTTGGACTTTCCAAAATGAAAGATGGTGATAATACTAAAAACACGCGAGAATGGAGCTGAAATCAATGATATTATTTAAGCAAACTGAAGGTAACACAGTTTAACTTAACTGGAATATACTGTTTCACCAAGCAAATTTGACTTTCTTTCCCTTTTTACACTGTTTTCCTAATTTGGGCTGAAATATATGTGGAATGGGATGGCAATAACATAAATTGAACTACAGAATCAACTTAACAAGACATCTTTTTGGCTTAAAAAAAATATTCAGAACAGAGATAATGAGGGATCATCCACACCATCATGGATATTTCCCTTCCTCATTTCAGGGGAAGATGAAGAATTCGTAATAATGCACATGTAGTAGTTTAAGAAGCAAAAAAGAGTCATGAAGAAACATTCAAAAGATCATTTGATATAACTTTTAAAGAGAGAAAAATGAATAGAGTGAGATAGTGGAAAGGAGCTTGGCTTTGATTACTTCAAAAGCATGGACACTACCAAGACTGTGACAAGGTCTTTGCATACATCCAATACTTGTATTGATCATAAAGTTATATAAAGCATACCAAATATGTTTGACTTGCATTACAGTTATTCAAAAATGAGAGCTAGTGCATCAGCATCTGAGAAACATCTTTATCTCCACTATAGAGATCATAAATACTAGCGAGGACTTAAGTATTTGTGAGCAGTAAATTATGCAGTCCATGTGAGCACTTATTCCCATATGATCAACCTTGGAATAACATGTTATATTCATCTAACTTATTTGAAATGTCTTCGGATCTAGAAGAACTCATTTTCTATCTCGAAATTGAAAAAAAAATAATAATCTGAGAAGCGAATCCATGAAAGATTACATGCATAAAAAACAAAAAGTACAAGGTCATTGTCAATATGTGAGAAAGTAAAAGGTCGTACAGTATCTTAAGATGCTTCAACCGCCCAATTTGAGGTGGAATTGGCCCAGTCAGTTTGTTATTGTGTAGATCCCTGCCATAAGGAATAACAATAAAGATTTCATATACTTGAAAGGGAATGAAAAATAGAAGATGCGTAGACAATTGGAATAGAATTTGCCCCTGATGACATTAAGGGAAAAGCCCGTTTTTATTTTACACATTAAGAGTTATCTTAAATCAAGCTTTCAATGTAGTCATTCTACACTATTCCAACTTCATATATAAAATTTCAAAGTGAGAAAGAATTCTAATTTTCAAGGAATGAGAACAAATTCTCATATAAGCCAAAAACAAAGGACCATACAGCCTAGTAAGATCAACCAGACTGGTAACTGCAAGTGGGAAAGGACCGACAATAGAGACTGCATAAACTTCCCTGCAAGATAAATGGAAATGTAATTAGGAAAAAAGTAAAAGCAGAATTCAGGAAGTTCCAAAATATTAGATGCCTCTAATATTTCACATCAATTCTAAAAAATATACTCCCTCTGTCCCATAAAGAAAGACTTGTTTTCATTTTCACACAGATTAAGAAAATTTAATTAATATACGTTGAAACTATAAATTTACATACATTTTTCCTAATATCCCTACATTGAATAATTGTAGTTCATATGATAAAAGACACATTAGATAGGGATATATTAGAAAATTAAGACTTCAATTATACTCTCAACAAGGAAAGTGACCTATAATTTGGAATAAACACAAAAAAAAAAAAGAAAAGAAATCAAGTTCATATTTGTGGGACAGAGTGAGTATACAAAAGTTGTGAATAGTATAAAATATAGAGTG